AGCTACTAACAAGGACAACCAACAATCAAGGCTATCATTAACAACAACAACAACAACAACAACAACAACAACAACAACAACAACAACAACAACAACAACAACAACAACAACAACAGAGCAACACCATCATTGACTCTCAGCAACACTATCAGCAATGCTATCAGCAACACTATTGATGCCATTCAACAACATAGTAACTAACCAACATTTGTCAACGACAACACAACAACCAGCAGTAACAACAGTCAGGGTCCTCATGGAGTCCCAAGCTGCAACCTTTGAAGCAGCCTTTGAGTTAGAATCAACTAAAAGCTCAACAAGTGATGAGGAGGTTGTTGATGATACTGAGCCTAAATATGATTCTGACAAAATATATACTATGCCTTGATTTTGGACCATCTTTTTATCATGTAATGACTAGTTAGACTCAATGCATTCTGCAGCTAAAGGAGCAACAGAATCATCAACCAAATCAGCAGCCAAATGAGCAACTGGCTCAGCAACAACCAGTTCAGCAAAAAGTTTATCTGATGACAGCATCTCTCATCTTGCTTGCCAGAACATGACTGCCAATGCAGCCAAATGCCAAAACAGAGCAGTCAGCATCCCATACAAAATATTAAATCCAAATGGATCTTGCAATTCATATCCTTGCATATTATCGTTCAGTGTTTTCACGTCAAAAACATCTTCATAGGGGGTTACAGAACCTTTATAAAATCCTTGAGCTGTCCAAAAGGTGAAGAAAGCCTTGAACACTTGGTGCTTCCCCTTGTACTTGATCATGATACCGCTAAATATCATGATCAACACCAACACCGACACCAAAAGTACTATACCCCGGTTACTAGGTTGGACTACAAGCGAAACAATATGACCAATCCCAGAATCCCCAATCATGGTTACCCAAATTACGAGAAAAAGATGGATGACTGGAATTGGCTGATTATTAAGCATCATATTCACCGTTACCTGATTTGTTCCGTGTGTCATTGAGTGCATAGATAGACAGAAAACAAATAGAAATTGATGGCCGATTGGGAACAGTAACGGTGAGAAAAAGTTGGGTAAAAGTTTCGGGATAAATCATGAGTTTCGGCATTCGGTTTAATCACAAGTATCGGAATTCATCTCCGTATGAATCGCCTGTGGAACTTACGAAAATGGCGGCATATAGAGGGATCCATAGACCTGATTCAAAGGTCTTGGCAAGCCAATATGCCGTAGGCTTTGTACCGCTAAACAGCTCTCTCTTGAAAACAGCTTTCTCTCGACCAAACGTATTGATTGATACGATGCAAACAAGCATTACTGCCAGAGCTGTGTAGATCCAGATTCCAGCAAATTGAGACTGTGGCGGTGAAGGGTAGTTACGCATGTATTGGCTTGCTGCGTTGTTTTGTGGATTTTCGATGTCTCGGACAAGAGGAATCCCGTAATAAAGTTGGGGCATGGTACGAACAAAATACCCAATCAATGCCCCTGCAGAAGCGGAAAGAATCACAGGAATGAGAGTATTCTCAGGTACCCGGCATCGTTGTAAAACAGCACGTTTGAAGAGAAGGTATGTCTGGTTGATGAAACCAGTTGCTTTGCGATTTCCGGGTGATTTTTTCGATGATTTTGAAGGTTTGCGAATCTTCCCGTTCTGATCATCGACTGACCCTGATTTTTTTTTGTGATCTTCCCAGAGATCGAAAAGATCTTCCTTCCTGAAATCTGGATTATCCTCACAAGGGATCAAGCCTGCGATGACGTCCATGAAATAGTCAGCAGGATTCATCTGATCAGGTAATGGAAACCCGATTCCATCAAAGTAAGACTCCATGTTTTCAGTGGGTCCCATGTATACAGTTCTACCACCCACACCCAAAAGGAGAACGTTCGAAAATGTACGCAATATTTCAATTTTTGGTTGATGGATGACTGCGGCAACATTGACACCTGTCTTTGCAAGATCACTGAGAGTTTCGCACAGATTCGACGATGTCGTAGAATCCAAACTAGAAAACGAAAGTTTACGAGTGAGCGAAGCAGATGATATTAGTCAAACGGGAAGCGTACAACCGCATATGCAATAGACACAACGACGTACCCTGAGGTAGGTTCATCAAGTGCTAACAAACTTGGATCAGCAACTAGCTCCATAGCAACGTTCACTCTTTTTCGCTGTCCACCAGAAATACCACGGATGATTTCATCACCAATGATACTGCTTCTGATACGTAAAAGATCCAAACTTTCCATCACCTGATACACTCTCTCTAACTTCTTTTTTCGAGACATCGAGGCTGGAAGACGCATAAATGCCGAATGCCGAATGTTTTCCTCCACAGATAATTCACGAATCATGATATCCTCTTGTGGAACAAAGCCTACAACTTTTCTGTAATCCTTTAGAGACGCATGCTCACCGTTCACAGCAAGTGTTCCTCCGGTTGGCTCTGTCTTACCAGAGAGAAGAGAAAGAAACGTGGATTTTCCTGCGCCGGAAGGTCCCATGATTGCTACACGAAAAAGGAATAAGTGCAAACAAATCGATAAGTTTCACAAATGTGCCCTTGGAAAATTCCTGAGCGATCTGGAAATACGGTACAAATGAAAGTTCACTCCACATTCGAAAGAATGCTGAACGAATTCTGTCTTCATGTAACAGAATATCCAATTTTGAATTCTCTTCAAATCTAAGCAACGGAATTCGAAGGTGGTTTTGAAACATTGCTTACCTGTAAATTGCCCTCCTTTCAATTCTCCGGTTACTCCTTGCATAATGCAAATTCCATTCGGCAAAGTGAGCTGTAGGTCTCTAAACTGAACACCGATAGTGAACTTGGGCTTAGGTGTAGTGACAGAAGATTGGCGTCTCGTCAATTTCTTCCTAGATTTCGCTGTCTCTTCATCTTCAACTTCGTCCAATTCGATTACATCATCTTCCGCCTGACGGAACGGAAACTTTTTATTCAAGTAAAGGTACGCTGTGTACAAACATGCGATACAATACACTGTAACACAAGCAACTAAAACGAGGTACCATTTCGAACCCGGATTTACCGCTTTCGTTCCAGAACAACTGTCCAAAAAATCACATTTTGTGGGCTTGGTACTCCCGATCCTGCAGTAATGCCCTTCAGGACAATCTGTAATCTCGGAGGGAGTTGGGCAATAGTGTCCTTCCTTGCAGAGCTCAGGGCACGCTGTTATATTTCGTGATTTCCCAGGACAAAACATCGTCGAATTGCAAAGAAAGTAATCATCTGGATAGGATGATGCCCAACCAGTATAGATGACTGGTTTGGTTTCGTTCGTTCCCGAGTCTTTTACATACTCAGTGAATTTACCCGCCCAGTAAGTTTCCTTCGTGTCGTTTGATGGAAAGCATCTTTCAAGACTTCGCTCATTCGAAACGAAACGAAACGAAACAAAAACGAAGGAAAGAGAGAGAAAACACGACAAGAAAAACAAGGATGCAATTTCAGAAAGATTCTATTTGAGTTCAGTGCGGTTCATTGCAAAAGATGACTTACCTGGGATCGGAGCACCCACACCAATAGCCAGGGTCACACTTGGAACTATAGTATTTGAAGTTACTAACAGTTGGACACGTATTGACGAAAGCATTGAGGGAAAACAGCACCTTGTCCACCCTATCGCAAAATTCAGGTACTGTAGTAGTGGTTGGAAGAGCGGGGGTGCCGTATCCTAAAGTTCCCAAAAGGTTTAAGGTTACCTCTGGGGAAAATAACATGTCCGCAAAGGATTTGACACCTTTGGTATCAAATTCTTCATCAAGAAAATCGTCCGTGTCATTTAAATTGCTTGTGGATTCGTTAGTGACGCCGCTTTTGTCGCAAAGCTTTGCAATCTTTTCGAGGTGATCTCTATAAAGGTTTTGCTTCTGCAGAGCATCCATAGCCTTGGACACCACCATGGTCTATTTCTCGATGACAAAATTCGAGTTGTCGTCGAAAGTAAATGGAGCAGCTCAATGTACTTTACGGTTGTCAAGGCAAAGTAAGGAAGTTGTGACGACTGCAAACGCGAGGATTCTTGTCCCAAACTCGCGACGAAGTGAACTACGGTCGTACGGTACCAGTACGTCCTTGACGACAATTGGCAGGTTCATAAAACAAGGAATTACGAGAACCGCGAAGTTCTCTCTGTCAGTTACGTATTTTCGCGAAAAGATTATTCCTATCTGAAGCTCAAGGAAGCACTCTCGGCACGTACTAGTGCCAGTACAAAATCACCAATGAGTTAGGTACGTAGATATATGTATTGTTATTCAATCTAGAATTTGCTGATTCTTCCCGAAAAACAAAAATATATGCCAAAATAGGCCTTCACTGACATCACAAT